CCTGCCACAGAATATTTTTCACCATGCTTCACCAGAAGTACCAGGTCTAGAGTTGTCCTGTTTCCTCCAGAAAGTCTGGCAATTTTGACTGTGTTGGCAAAGGACAATCTATGACAGGAGGTAAAGGAAGTTTCCTGTCCAAGCAGATTACAGGTAAACTAAACACTACTGTTGTCTCCTTACAGGCAGTCCTTGCTTAACAACCACAATTGGCATTGGCAACTCCGTCTAATTGATGCAGTCATTAAGTGAGATCACATGACTGCAACAGACTTACAACCTCACTTCTGCCATGGTTGTTAAGCGAATCACCCGCAGTTGTTAAGTGAGCCATCACGTGACCACAGCTTGTGACTTTACTGCCGGATTCTCTGTTAACTCTGCTTGTCAGAAGCCAGCTGTGAAGCATGCAAATGGCAATCACGTGACCACAGGACACGTTCTTGTCTTGTACATTGGAGGAAACAGCTCTAGATATCAGCCCTGGAGAAACTGCGCAAGCCCAAACTTGGATGGGAGACAACCAAAAAATCCTAGGGCTGTAAAGATGGGAAGTCAAAAACATCCCAGAAGAAGGCAACGACAAAAAATGTTTCTATTTAAATAATAATAATAATAATATTCATTCATTCATTCATTATTCATTCATTCATTCATTCAATTTATATAGCTGCCCATGTCAGACCAGTGACTCTGGGTGGCTAACAACAACAACAACAAATAAATAAATAAATAAATAAATAAAATAATAATAATAATAATAATAATTTGTAAAAATGGGGAAATACAAAATTCTACATTGAATAGTGATTATATAGCAAAGGAAAAAAGTATGTATCTTATTGTAATTAAAATTTGGCGGAGACTAAATTAGAAATATAAATAAATAAACAAATTAATTAATTAATAAAATGAACTAATATAACCCAAAAAAAAATCATTTACAGAAAGAAAGAACCATGTAAGTATAAATACCTATCTAAATTCAATTGCTAAGTTTATCATTAAGTTTACCTAGACCATATAGCAACAAAGTATCATCTCATTTTCAGGACAGACTTCTTGAAAACAGGTAAATACATATCCTGGGAACTGCTTTTGTATTTATTATCAAGATAATGATGTCACAGATGTATTGTTAGAGATGTAGTGTTACAGGGTCATACACGTATTTGATACTGTCACCAGGACTGAAGTTCGACCTGAGTCTTTACCTTTTTAAGTTGGCAAGGAAGACATCTTCATTTTATCGGACTGTTGAAAACTAGGATGGAGGAAAGTATAGTGGGTTTATTGTATCATTAAAAGACTGAGCACTCTGCACGCCGAATAGAAAAGCTGGCCTAAGCATGTGCTCAGTAATAAAAATGAGAGCAGCAGAGGATTACATAAGTATGGAAAAGTCACTCTGTATATATGTTTTTCTTTTCATATTGAAGAAACTACTTTGATTTAGAAACAGACTCCTGAAGGAACACTGACTAAAATTTAAGTCAGTAGGACAAACAAGAAAAAAAACTTACTTATAATCAGAAAGAAGAAGCAGGTTGGGGGTCAGGGACAAGAATGGCTGACAGAGGAGAAATGAACAGATTTGTGTGTGGTGGGGAACATCATAATGTATTGTCTGACTATGATTTGCCAGGGAGAGAGGTATGTCAGTGCTTATTTTATCTTCAGTTAGTTACATGGCGTATTAGAACAGCAGCTATAAAATAGGGACTGACAATGGGTACCTTCTCAACTAAACCTAATTCAAATAATGGTGGTCTTTTCCTTCACCTGGCAAATAAATCCTTCCAGGCAGCAGTGAGCAATAGCAAGTAGTAAAATGGATGCCAAAGATGCTGCTTGGAAGTGGCTTAACTTACTATTTGTGTGCATCTGAAAGCCATGAAAGAGCAAATAGGGCATTACTGAACAATGATCCAACATCCATCTGCGAGTAGATAAATGGGGACTCCCGTTTAGATGGGAGGAACCGGCGGTGCTGCGCAGGGAAGCAAAATACCAGTGCTGGCTGAACTCCGAATGCAGCCGGCATGAGCGGCAAGCGGCGAGGAAGATCTACAGAGGAGGAAAAGCCCGGATGACCCCCTAGCAACCCTGCCGGTCCCACAGCGTAATTAATTGTATAATTGTATTATATGTACTTTGTGAGCCGCCCAGAGTTCCCCATTGGGGGAAGATGGGTGGACAATAAATTGAATGTAATAATAATAATAATAATAATAA